TGACATCTCAGCTGGCTCTAAGGAGCATACAGCGGGAGATGCTCACGACATCTGCTTGGGTTTCTCAAGACAGTTACACGGAGCTACAGACTCCAAGTCACCGTCACCCCCCCTCGCTTCTCGGGCATTCTGCATTCGCAGGCCCGAGGAGAGTCAGCCCATATTCTGGAGAGAGAGATTCTCTCACAGGGCTATATCTATTTTACCCGCCGAGCAGTCAGGGCGGCTTCTATTCCAAGTACTTCCTCGTTCCCAAACGGGGAGGGAACGGAATTCGGCCAATACTTGATTTGAGGGCTCTGAACAAATATCTAAAAAGATATAAGTTCAGAATGCTCACTCACACATCCGACTGGGACGCTTACACATGAGGGAGTTTCAGCGCTGGGTGGCCGCCCTAAAACTAAACCCGAGAGTGATGGTTACTGTGAAATGCGTAATGGCACTGCGCCACTGGCTGCACCCGACTTTTCTAGTACGAGGTGTGCCTATGGGTGCTGTCCTTTCACGGAAAGTGGTCACCACGGACGCATGTCTGACAGGTTGGGGAGGTATTTATGAAGGTCGCCCGGTGAGGGGTCTCTGGAGCAGAGACCTCCAGCGGGCGCACATAAATTACCTGGAGCTTTTAGCAGTGTTTCTCACCCTAAAACGCTTTCTGCCTTTCCTCAGGGGACATCACATCCTCGTGAGGACAGACAATACGACCACAATATCGTATATTAGCCGCCAAGGGGGTTTGCGTTCTCTCCAGTTACACACACTGGCGCGCAAACTGATCCTATGGAGCGGTAGACGTCTCCTCTCTCTGAGAGCAACGCACGTACCGGGAGTGATGAACCTCGGGGCAGATCTACTGTCCAGAGGTATACCACTTTATGCAGACTGGACTCTACATCCAAGGATTGTGAGCCAGCTGTGGGTGCGTTACGGCAGAGCCGCGGTGGATCTGTTCGCATCGAAAGACAACGCTCAGTGTCAGCTGTTCTTTTCGATGCGCGATCTAAATGCACCGTTAGGCGTGGATGCACTCGCGCACGATTGGCCCCCGGGCCTTCTGTACGCGTTCCCACCCCTGGCTCTGATACCCCCAACTCTGACCAGAGTGAGAGAGCAACGCCACACACTTATCCTGATAGCTCCGCACTGGCCAGCTATGTACTGGCTAGCGGAGATATATCAGCTGCTGTGCGGGCAGCCATGGCAGCTCCCACTACCCAGAGACATACTGTCCCAAGCGGGGGGGGGGGGGCGATCTTTCACCCACACCCAGAGCGCTTGGCTCTATGGGCCTGGCCCGTGAGTGGTACAATCTGAATACAGTGTGACATGAAGCTGACCCTGGCAGCTGCCAAGCGAGCCAGTGCTACTCATGAGCTATCTGTACAGTCTTCATGCACTCAGTTCGCCCCAGGGCAAACAGAGTGTGGTTGAAGCCCAACCCTGCCTTTATCTTAAGGCGGTTGGTTCAGGTACCACATTTGACATTGAGGCATCCTCCCCGCCACTGTATTCCTCCGGGGAACAGCGGCCGGATTTGCCGTGTCCAGCCCGTGCTTACGCACGTACAGGGACAGATCAAGGGTGCTTCGTCATAATGACCAACCCCTTGTGTCCTGGGCTAACCCTTATAAGGGCAAGCCTGTTACTAAGCAACGGCTCTCCCACTGGTTTGTGGAAGCAATTGCTTTGGGGCCCATACGAGTCAGAGTTCGCAGGCACCCTCGGGTCCGCGAGCTCTTTCGACTCAGGGTCTGGCTGCATCCTGGGCTCTGTCCAGGATGTCTCCCATCCAAGACATTGGTGCAGCGGCGAGCTGGTCCTCGCCGCTCACTTTTGTCCGCCTCTTAACATGCTGGACGTTCTGCTCCCAGTGTGACTCAAGCAGTGCTGGGCACCTGGTTGAGTCAGAGCTCTACCTGTTAAGTTCTGGTTGGTTTGGTGATTTTCGAGATAAGCTCGTCTGACAATACGGGAGCTACAATTTCCCATAGTGAGACATCGAACGGAGTGTTATGAATGAGAACTATAGGTTACTTACGTAACCCCAGTTCTCAGAGTAACATGAAGTGAGATGTCTCACCAGACGGCCCTCCTTGCTATGGTGAAGCGAGAAGAGGTGCTTATTTTGAATGACGCATGCGTCGTGGCGCAAGCTACTTATAGGGGGTGAATTCCCTGACGCTGACGTCAAGATCACCAGCCAATCAGGATTGGCGTAATGAGATTGATGCTTCTGTTTGCTCCGCGATGAGGCGCATCCCATAGTGAGACATCTCACTTCATGTTACTCTGAGAACTGGGCTTACGTAAGTAACCTATAGTTTTTGCGTGGCTGTGTTTTAGTTGTAAGCCCAGTGGCGATCTGTCATACTGATCATACAGTCAATAACTTTGTTGTTATTAGCATCTGGTTAGCTAGCTATGCTAACGAATATAAGAAGCTTTTTCTACAACCAGTGAGGTAAAGGCACATCTTTATATGATCATTATAGTTATAAAACAAATAAGAGAATAAAGTAAACAGGTATAAAATACTATATGACAGTAAAAAAAAGTTGTTATTAATAAACAAGAATACAGTTTGAAAGGAGAGTGATTTGTAAAATACCCATAAAGAAAAAGAAAATCTGCTTCCAGTTCTGTTTCATCTGGGTGTTGAGAGATGTATCCATAGATCTCCTAATGTTGCTCTCAAAGTGCACCAGATTGATGCTTTTAACTTCAACATTTAAAAAAACAAATCTTCCCGGGGGAGCATGCCCCCCGGACCCCCCCTAGAGGAGGTTAGGTCCCCCCCCCACTTAAATCATGTTCACAGGAGTCTAAATACATTTGCACACATCTTGTGTCCATATCTTTCTGTTTTGGTGGTCATGCCACAACCGTGCACGTGCATGCGTGAGTCATGGCAAGATATCTGGATTAAGAGGTTGCTTTTTCTTTGCACAGCATGAAAGAAAGTTGAAATGAGTGGGCTGTGATTTTAGTATTTTTAAGCAGAGATCAATAATTTGTACGGCCGTCGGAGGATGTTGAAAACATTGAAATGGCCCTTGAGAGGAAAAAGGTTCCCCACCCCTGATCTAAAGGACCAGATCATTGGATTTGTATCTGTGGCAAGTACAGGTAGAGAAACCTTAAAGGTCACCTATTATGCAAAATCCACGTTGTCATGTCTTTTATACAGAGACATGTGTGTCCTCTGTGTAAAGAGATTCTGAATGTTTCAGGAAAAAATATTTGCTCACTTTTTGTCCTGATCCATTTATATAAAAACCTGTCTGAAAACGAGCTGATCAGATTATGGCCACTTTATGATGTCATAACAATTTGTTGGCTTGTGTAACCATTAGCCAATCACCAACCAAGGTAACCCACCCCCCCCCCCCCCCCCCCCCCCCCCCCTTATCACCTGCATCTCCTCCAAGAGCACCATTGTGTTCTTTCTAACCAAATATCTCTCAGAGGGGCGTGGGGAGTGGCACCTTATTTTCATCTAAAGTAACAGACAGAATCAACACTTGAAACAGGGCTGAAACAGAGGGGATTATGGGATGCTACAATGATCTGTTTGGTATTTCGAGCCAAACACCTCAGAGACATGTTTGTATATATACAAGACCTATAATAAAGTCATGAAAAATAGTATAATAGGGGACCTTTAACATTATAATTCCTCAGGCTTTATTTGTGTGTCTAGGCTGTATTTTTATTTTACTTCATTAATTGTCACATCCTTTATCCCTGATTTGAAGCAGAGTACTCAAAGTATATTTTGTGCTTCACTGGGAGTTGTATCTCCATCTTGTGGGTGCAGCAGGTACTGCTCTTTAAACTCCAGCTTTCATTTCCTCAGTCAGACTCCTAAAATCATTCTTGTCTTTGAACATCCGAGCTGGACTGTGGATGTGTATCGGCATTTCAACTTAAAACGACCTCATTGGGCCCATTTATGATTCAGTCCTTGAACTATACTTATATTGCCAGTGATAAGAGTGCTTCAGATTAAATGAAACAATTGAACTGTTGTCTTTGACCTTAATTAGATTTTATGCAATCAATCAGTTTTGTTGTAGCTACATATTTGATTTTTATCAGCCATACTGTAAATCACAAGAGGAAAACAGATTAGCCGTTTTAAGGCCTACAAATGTATATATATTTAAAGGGGGATTGTATTAATTGTGTAGAGGGTAACTGGCATCCCCAATCAATTAGCAAAACAAAAAAATAAATGCTATTTATTGTAAGTGATAAAAAGTCATTCTATTTTTAATATAGGTTTTGGATTACCCTATGATTCACACGAGATTCACAGTCTCCAGGATAAATGGAAGGAGTTGCAAGATGATCGACCCCAAAAGCATTTCAAAACAAAGAAAGGTTCCTAATAGTTGTGCTTTTTTAAATACTTAATTATGGATACAAAAAAAATCTTCTTCAGGACTGTGAGGAACATTTGTTGACATTGCTTTGTTAATTTATATGTGACCCAATTACTAATCTAAGGCCTGGATGGTGAAGATGTTACGTAATACATATCAATTTACATTTAGACCTGAGACTTCATTGAATTGTTTAGAATAAGTCAATTAACATGTAAGGATTAACCTTAGTGATGAAAACTTTGACCAAAAGAGCAATTTACCAACTTTTATGTCTGTTTTTGTGCATTTACATATTACATATCAATAATCATTTCAAACTGGAGCAAAATATATACAAGTAATGACATCGTGTAATCTACAAATAATACAAAAAGAGAATATAGGATATAAAATAGTTTTCTATGTCAACAAGATGTTGTCTACCCAGACTGTGAATGTGTTTGAAAGGGACAGAATCTGAGCATTTACAGTACGTTCTTGAGAAGATGTGTAAAAGATGTGACTCTTTTAAACTCAATATTACATTTGAACAGTGTTATCCTTTCATGAAAGACCCAACATTCACTCAAACATCTGATTTTCAAAGAGGACATAAAGGAAAAGACCAAATTAAGAGTTATCCAAGTTTATTAATATTATCTTTTAAAACTAATATAAATCCCACAGAATATGATCCTGGTGCCTTTAAGTCAACGAATGCATGGATACCTGCTTTACTGCATTTCAACACTCCATTCAAAATATCGTTTTTTACCTTTTTTAATATTCATCAGAGTGGAAATACATGGCCTCAGCGCACGTCATATTCACAACTACTCTCCTACCTTTTTCTCTCTTGTGCAAGTCTATGCGAGTGAGTTAGTCAACAGTATTAGTGTGTTTTTCTTTCAGCAGCAGCCAAAATGGGCACCGCTGCTCAACTACAGAGAGACAAAAGGGAGGGTGGATAAAACGGTTTTGAAGTGTGAGAACAAACAGTAAATATTTATCCCGAATTGAGCTGTGTATTTCACACACACACACACACACACACACACACACACACACACACACACGCACACACACACACACAGGAACTCAATGCCACTGCCAGTATGAAATTGACAAAATGATCCCAGGTTGCAGGCTCATGTGAAATGTCTTGCACACATTTAGACCTGAGATCATCTTACAGAAACCTTACTAACCATCACAGGCCTGTCTGCGGGGCGCAACCCCCGAAATATGAAGAAAAAACTCAGAGCAGGACCCAACACTCGCTCAGTTTATGAAGAACAGTCGAGAGAGGCAGGTGACATTTTCCTTTTCCTCTAAAATACGTCAGGCGGTGATAACGGTGTCTTTAGTCAAATGAAGTGCTGGAGGGAGGTGTGATCGTAGCAAAGCATGTGCATATTCTGGGAGGTGAGGTGAACATTGAAGTTTATTTCCACTCTAGAAATACTGGGTGTGCACTAATACAGCAGCTGATCTGTTAACATATTTCCCTAGTTAGGAATGTCTTGATTTACTTAAAAAACATCTTTCACTAACAATCCACATCTTCTAAACATAAACTAATCAATACAATGATTGGTAAAATGAATCCTGCAATGTTTGTTTTTTTAAAACTGGATGGTGACATTGTATTCTAGTAAAGCAAGGCATTAGGTTTACAGAAATGCATCTTTACTAGAGCAGCTATCCTCACCTGCGAGTTGTTAGGCCGTGTTAAGCCCACGTTATATGTGCAAAGAAATGCATTGCAAGGAAACATGCAGAGAAACAAAACAAAGAATGACACTTGAGGAAACAATCAAAAGCTACATAAAAGCTTTATAAATACAATAAAATCTTAAACCCTTAATGGAGAAGTCTAGCTGTTGTAGTAATATGTGGTAGCTGGCACTCTAGGCTCAATGCTTTTTCGTCAGGTGTTTTTTTATTTTCTCGTAGAAGAGCTGCGCAGGTAATTCATGCCATCTTTGGTTGACTGCAGTACTGAAGAGAAAAATTAATATGATCTCAAAATAAATTTTCAACAAAAGGGTTTGTTAGAAAAACAGCATCAACTCTCAGCAGACAGCTGCGCCTCAATGTCCACTCTGCAGATGGGGCACTTCTTATTGGTGAGGAGCCACTGATCCACACACAGCTGGTGGAAGAGGTGCATACATGGTAGGCGTCTGGGGGGGGACACAGAGGCAAACATTAAAATCCAACTAACAAATACAGTCTGTGTAGCCTTAGCTTATTCCTGTGTGTCCAGAAACGTTTGCAGAAATGCAGGAATAGCATCGCTCCGCTTGGGTTAAAACATGTGCTGAATGTACCAAGGACTGTTTATCGAAATAAACTGACTTTTTGTAAAATCGCAAACATTATCCTTAAAAATGTTTTCTTTGAAAACCTTTCAAATGTACACATAAACCTGGAATATTCTTTATTCTTCACATACTGCTGCCCTCTGCTCTTTATTCTGTCTGCACTTTTAGTAAGAAGAAATTATGAACAAAAGTAAACTTTAAAAAACAAACTTTACTAGATAGAGAAGTTGAGCAATTATGATACCATTTATAATTCAAACAAAGGATGAACTATATCAGAAATGTGTGAACCTAATATCATTTTTTGCTGAAAGTTGATTAATGATTTAATTTAAAAGGAATTTTAAATCCAAAATAATGTTTTACCTAAAAAATAACAACTTAAGAAAACTGCAGGTTTGGAAATGTGTACCTAAAATCCTTCAAATGCTATTTTTGACGACTGTCGTCAACTTAGTAGAACAGTTGTTTTTTTTAAGATGCAAAATGTGAAGATCATCCCTTCCTCTAAAACCAACAGAGGGCAGAAAATCCTTGAGAGAAAAAACCTGAGCGAGTGCCAAAAATCAGCTCCATGAAGCCGGTAATTTTAGGGCACTCTGGGGTTTTCTGTTTATTGCTATACCTTTGGGTCTAAAAAAAAAAACATTTCTCGAGAGATTGTGGCTGAATGGAACAACTACACCTGCCATCCCACATGTCACACCCCTAAAAGCGTAATTAAACACTCAAAACCATGAGGAAAAAAAATGGCACAAACACCCAGGAGGGAGCTGTTTACCTGACGTCCTCCCCCTCCTCCAGTATTGACAAACAGATGGTGCATTTTTCTTCTGTGTCTTCTTCATCTGCCCCTTCTTCTTCGTCTTGCTTAATAAGCAGCTTTCTCTGTTTGGGGGAGACATTTGGAAAGTTGACTTTTGATGTTCAGCATCGATAAGGAAAGCTGTCTCAGCAGAATCATCACATATCATTAATAATCCTATCATTCCAGTCTCTTTTTCACATATAAAACGGCTCAACTTAAACACTGTGTAAAATGACAAGTATATTTGAAGTTTGTATATAAATAAACTATTGTCTATTATGGGTAACTGTTTAGAACAAAAATGTCAAACAAACCATTGCCTTTGGGGACAGAGAGAATGGTCATTTTGTCCTGAAAACTGAAATATCTATCTATGCTACACAAATTAAACAATACCCAAATCAAAGTTAATCTAGAGCCGAATTCCCTGGCCCTCCCAAGACTCAAGCTAACATCTACAGCACATGTGAGCAGAGACATGTTTCCAAATTGAATTGTTTATTTTTTCTCACCGATTCTGGGGTTGCGAGCATATTTTTCCCAATAGATGCCCAGGCTTCAGGGGTTAACTCTGGGTCAATGTCTCTCTCCAACACCTTCTGTATTGGGTGGCAGGGGTGTTAGATCGATTGTTCAGATACATTTGGAAATCTCTAAGGAAAACTTTTTCCTCAACAATGTCTTCACAGCGGCAATCTAGAAACACAGACCACCGCGCACTCTGTCCCAGAATAAACTGTAACAGACACATGCATGACTATTCACAGTATCTACAAAATCCAATAAACAACACACACAATGCTACACACACTCTGATCAGCGCTCACCTTCTTGTACTTGTGTGGGTAAGTGCACCTCTCTATGGTTCCCTGAGATGCTCCTCGGTTCACAGTCCCCAATCTTTCCTCTAAATGCAGCAGGTCCTGAAGGAGGATAATAAACACAATGTTTTAGAATGATGAAGAAAGGTTTCTTGGCTCTGTAACGGATACAATTCCTCTTACTGTGCACAAAAGAGCAGAAAACCTGAATAATCCGTTCAGATTTAGCGGTTGAACCCTGTGACTCTGAGTTAGATTTGTCTGGGGTTCAGTCTCTTGCTGAGGGAAACATCATATCACTGACAAGATGATCAAACATCGATCTGCTGTGCCTGAGTTACAGCTGACTCAAATCGAGTTAAACGACATTAAAAACTTTAGCAATTGATGGAGAACAGCTTAGTGGACCTAGAGCAGTGGTCGCCAACCAGTCGATATGGAAGTAAAACAAGAATAGTTTAAAAGGGGAATGATTTGTAAAATATCCATAAAGAAAAAGAAAATCTGTTTACAGTTCTGCTTCATATGGGTGCTGAGAGAGGTATCCATAGATCTCTTCATGTTGCTCTCAAAGTGCACCAGATTGATGCTTTCAACTTCAATATTTAAAAAAAAAAATCTTCCCGGGGAGCATCCCCCCGGACCCCCCTAGAGAGGGTGAGGACCTAGAGGAGCAGAGGACACCCCTAGAGGAGGTGAGGTCCGCCCTCCACTCATAAAAAATAGCACTTTACCCCTGCCTATATGCCGTGAGCTGATTATGGAGCCTTCATTGTAACAGTAATTCAGATGCAATTAGCCTATAAAAGGCCTCAAATTGGAAGCACTGTCTGGGCCGTCTTTTTCACTCAATTCTGCAATAGGTAGATCTCGCCTTTCACCTAGGCCGAGGTCGGTGATCTTGGGCTTAAAAAGGTTGGTGACCACTGACCTAGAGTTACAATATTTTTTGTCAAGACATTAAACCTTTTCTCAGAATTTACTCAAACTATGGTATTTTATCCCACTTTTCCAGCTATGTCTGTTTATTTTTGAATAAAAACAGAATTAAGTGTAAACTGTTATGATGTGTCCTCATTTAAACATTATTCTGATCAGTCTTGCAATTATTTTTAAGTTGATATTGGCGATTGCAGTGATTAATTGAACAATAACAAATGTACTCTTTATTGTCCGAGTTGTGTCGGGACTGAGAAAAACAAAATAAGCCACTGTGAAATAAACAGTCCTCACCTCATAGGTTCTTCCAAAGCCAGTCATTCTAGATGAGATGTACCGAATGTGCGGGTAGGTCACTTCAGATATGCCAGTGTGCTGCGAGGGATGAAAAGAAAACCATTTCATGTTTCACTTTGTTTTGTTCAAGATGACAAAGAATAATCTCAGCATGTTCCTCTCATAAATTAAGGCTTTAAGTCTTTCTGAATCAGATGGCTTCTATAGATTTTTTCCATTCTATATTTTGTAGAACTTATTATTATTTCATATCCTGCTGTTTGTTCATGATAATGCATGTGAGTCATAATGTGGCTGAGTCATGTGACTTTGAGCTATGCTGTATTTATGTGCATGTGCATGTTTTAACTGGCATCTTCTCACAGAATACAGTTAAACCTACATTTTTTAAATAATGGAACCACTTGTGCCCACAACCTTGATATAGTATACACTTTAAGTTTGTAAGGCATTAGGGTTTTCAAGCAGATAAAGTGCACCATTAGCATTTATTCCTTTATACTACAGCTTGTCGCTAACTGTCTCTGCAGTTTGGTGTCCAGCTCTAAGAGTGCACAAGAGCAGTTGTTGGCCTAAAAACAGTTCTAAAAATGAAGTTGAGGGTTATCAAGATTGTTTATTTGGAAGCAAAAATAAAGAGGCACATGGCACATCTGTAATCATGAAGGTCGAAGATGTATATCAATTCAAACGAATGAACTCTGGCCCAGAACGTTCAAAATTCACTTGCATATCTTTTGGTTCTACTTGTATAGCCACTAATTCTGAGCATTCCGGCTGTGATTAAGTTGAATAGACTCAAATCATTTAGAAAACCTAAATGCATCTGCTCTTTCATTGATGCTGCAGACGAGAACTGTGCTGAAAGACAACTAATGTTCAGATGTTTGACGGTGACCAAGTGAAAAGAAAGAAAATCAGGAAACTGTCGTCTGCACAGGATCCGTCTCAAGGCCTGTGGATTTGTTGAGTGTGCACTTGAAATGCCTGATGAGCTGCTATTAATTGCTAATGCATTATTCATGTGGTTCACCAAACCATCCTTGAAATAACTGATGTTATAAATAAGGGTCCAACACTATTAATCTAAGCCAGACTTCATTTAGAAGTGATTCTTTCTTATTTATGCTAATGTATGCATGTGTGCTGAGGGTGTCTCCCTCACCATGAAGGGGATGGGGAAGTGGTGCAGTCTGGGGGGAGGGTGGTAGTGGGGCAGGTGGGAGTGCAGGTGCCCTGAAGGGTAAGGGGCCACAGTCACTCCAGCCTCGATGCCAAGCTCCCTGTGGATGAACACATGATAAGCGATCAGTCAACATTACATCAAATAGCACATCTGAAAAGATTCATCATTTGTATACAGAACGACTCAGTATCCAGCTATGGTTTGTGGTCGAGACATATTACATCTGGAGGGACTTTCTTTTCATAATGAAGACAGAAGAGGTGTGTCTGATAAGGTGTGGGACCTCAAAAGGCTCTCAGAGTAATGACTACTGTGTGGTGTTGAGTGTAAAACCCTTTGCTGTGTATATTTCTTCAAAATGATTTTATAATATGCGTGTACACTTTTTTTTTCTTAAATAAATGTTTGAATTTAATAACATTGTGGTTATTTTGATTATCCAGGATATGCGTTGTACATTTATGGTTTCATATTTAGTTTGTTCTGATTACAGCTCTCAAAAAATTAAATAAAACAATGTTATTAAAAAAAACTAAAAATGTACGTTTATCTGGAGTGGCTATTCAAAATGTGGAATAGTTGATAAACATTCAACTAAAACCATCTGCTAACCCTCCCGGCCTCGGACACTGACCATGCTGTTCTCTGCTCCGGCTGGCGGGGGTGGGAAGACATAGTTTGAGGAACATGGATGTGGTGTCCATGGCCGTAGTTGGGGTGCATCCTGTGAGGGTGGGGGGGCGGGCGCTCGTGTGCTCGTCTGCGGGGAAAGGAAGATACAGGGTTTAATATATATGACCAGGAAGAGTCAATCCTGGGGGTGGGAGGGCTATAGCGGTACTCACGTAGGGTGCTGCATCATCCTGCGCCTCTGGACCTCCATCCTCTGCAGCATCTCGTGCTGATGGAGCCGCTGCACCGAGGCCCCCAGCGCCGGCATGTGGTGCGGCAGGGCCTGGTGGTCCGCAGGCAGGTGCTGGGCCAGGGGGGCACTGGAACTAGAGAGGTGGTGGGTGGACAGAGGAGGGGGAGGGGCAGGGGGCACAGCGTGGCCTGAAGGGTGGGATGGCAGTGGCGGATGAAAGGTGACAGTGTGGGGAATGACATAATCCCCTTGTGTAGGGGCCTGCGGTGTGAGTTGGGGGTTCCCATGGGAATGAGGGCAGGCGGAGGGGGGCTGATGATGCAGCGAGCGTGCTAGAGAGCCATCTGGGTGTGAGGAAAGAGAGAGGGAAAACATGAAGTAACACACTTTTAGAACAACACATTAGATATCCTGTTTTTTGTTATTGTAACAAATGCCATGGAAAGATCAAATCTAACAATGCGGGAGTCTTGAGCAACGGTTTTATCCAAATGCAACGCAACTTCAAACCTTATTTGGTGAAAATTGGCAGAAGAAAAGGCATCTTGCTCTTATAGGTAAAGCAACTTTTTCACCTCAGTAAAGTATAAAACCTTGTGTGACATATTGTTTCTGTTGTTAGCCCCACGTCCATTTGTTCTTACTGAAGCCTACATATTTTCAAAACTAGTCACAGGATATAAACTAGGTGCATACGGCATTGACTTTGGTAAACTACGGTTGCCGAGTTCCATTAACCAGTTTAACCACCATAACCACCAACATCAATTGACCAGGTAACGTGTGCAGACAAAAAGGTTCATTGATGGGGGGGGGGGGGGGGGGGGTCAGGGTTTTGCTATACAGGAAATACACAAGGCTTATGGGATCAGTCATAATAAAATGTAGAATGTAACCAAAGTTATCCTTTATAACAATTACAAAAACGTCATCAGTAAAATGTGGGGGAAACGGTTCTCCGTCTGTAATTTGCACCAGCAGACAAACATCTCAGCTCATCGTGTCGAAGGTGATTATTCTGTAGCATTTTATATTGTTTCTGTTCATGAAGACTATCTCTGTTCTCTGGACACACGAAACGTTCCCCACTGAGTCATCCAATAAATAAATATTCATATATTCTTTTGTTTTAGATCTCCTTGGTGCAGACTTCCTTTACTGCTTGTCCAGGCAGAGGTTCAACCGTTCAATGAGGAGAAAGGGAAGGCCTGAGAGAGGTGAGCGTGGGCACCAGCAGCAGAGACTAACTCTTTACTACATCCCCACCAGAGAGCCTTTTCACACCGCTTCACTTTCCATATTGAGCTATTCTGAGTAGAACGAGCAATTAACTACTTCTGCCTGGTACAGTTCCCACAGCACTTGGCACATTAACCACCAGGCTCTGTTAATTACTATTAGAATTAGGTTTTAGCAGGGGAACTGTCTGCCAATTTTCACAAATGCTATGGCACCACAGAAGAGCTCAGTTTACAGATGCAATAGCTTAAACCGTGAAAGTCCAACAGAAATCAAGTTGCATTTAATTTGCCTGCTACATCACATGCTCTGTGAATCCACGTTCCTGTACTCTCCTTTGAGTAATTAATCATATATATTTTTATTAAATGGTGGCGCTTCCTAGGTCGGAATTAATAGGAGACCGTGGATGCGGTCGTACAGACTTATTGGAGAGTCAGTTACATTTCGTGTATGCTAAGGAGAGGTGCTTTAATGCTTCCTTTCTTATATTCTTTACCTAGGAAATGAGGAAATTCCATCTCAAGATGTCTTGCTGCAGCAATAGTTACATTGAGGTACAATTCAGCCTTTAACAACAACAACTGCCCGCTTTGGTTAATTGCACAATTTGGATAATCTAACAACATCCTTCTCAGGAGGTGTGATTTTAATGTACCCTTCCTTTAAATGTCTAGCATTGTGTTTGACACTGTGTTTAAACATCTGTCGTAGCTCAATCATGCACTGCAGTCGGGATCTATTAGCACAGTGGCTGTCATTTCTTAAGTCCCTAAGAAATGTCCTTCACATCTTTCTTTGACCTCATGACGTTTTCTTTCAACATCAAGGAAAAGCATGTTTAGTAAAAGATCAGGGTTCATACACTTTTTCACCAATGACTTTTCCATGACCTTTACCTAATTTTCCATGACCAAAACGATTACTCTTTCTCAGCGGTACCACTGAAAATGGTTTATTTTAACATGGAACAGGAAAATAAGGTCTGAAACATGTTGTGCCTATCTAAAACAAATCAAAATAGTAGACTTACTAGCTTCTACACGCTAAAGCAACTAAAATCTCTCACCCGCAAAATACCTCGTCAGTTAAATGCCACTTTATTACTATACGATATAGTATTTATTATCATTATAGTATTACTATTTTGGCGATTAGATAAAATATAAATTATATTTGATCATTTCCATGACTTTTCCAAAACTTTGGGAAAAATATTGTTTTCCATCACTTTTCTAGGGCCTGGAATTAGCATTTTGAATTTCCATGACTTTTCAGGTTTTTAATGACCGTAAGAACCCTGAAAGATATTGATTGTAATTTGAACTACTCGTCTGGTGCCCTATTTCAATTTAGCAGATGGTTACACTGAGCCAGACGCCACTTATCAACACTTTTTGTTGATTGTTGACAGCATGTTTTATAACAAAAAAAGCAGACTAAATGTGATTTCAGTGATTATAAAAGACACAAACTGATGGTGAATGTGTGGTTTCCTGAACTGCATGAGGGTGCTTCACTCACAGGGGTGCATGTAATGTCTGCAGGGCTGGGGCTGTGTCGGAGGCTGGGGCTGCGCCACCATGGGGGGGCCGAACGAGTCCACCGCAGCGGGCTGGCTGGACCCAGGTGCAGCCTGGGAAACGAAAGCAGGAGGCCGTGAGGTGGAGCCCGGGCAGCACGGGTCAAAGGCCGAGGTGCTGCCATGGAAACTAGCGCCGTTGTTCCCACCGGTCCGAACACTGCTGTTGCTCAGGTCCACCGGCAGATTTTGCTGTGGAGGCAAGGAAGAGATTTTATGTTAAGATGAGGGGCATGCTTCACCTGAAGAATACTAAACGATTCATATACAATTCAAGTCAAGTCACAATTGACATGGACACCAAAGCGGGATATTGGGTTGTGTTTCTCAAAAATGTAACCGGTTTTAAGTCTTTGCTTTTATGCTGCAATGGCCCGTTTCACATGGGAATCATAAAAAATAAAAAACAAGCGTGTTCATATCATATAGTAAAGAGACAGACCAGAGAAACACTAGCTTAAGAGAACTTAAAGAACAACTTGCAGGTTTTTTATTTTTTTTTTACTAGATTTATGCTTAACCTTGCCTGAAAATTACAATTAAAAAAGTGAATGCAGGATTTGATATGTTTTACAACACATAAGGGCAATAATTCATAGTGGAAAAGAGCCGTTTTGAGCTCTGCTGCTAAAAACTACTTTTTTTTAACGTCATACGTCAAACGCGTCATATTACGTCACATGGGGGAGCAACTTTCTCGGACTCCTTCTCTGCCCAATCCGCGGTAGTAGTTTGTAGTTGGTTTGAGCGGTTGTGATTTAGTGAGCTGGTATTTTTTCGGTAATTTTACATTGCATTTCACCATTTTTAATGATGGTGAGCTGGAGTTTGTGCAGGTTGCACAAACTCAAGCCTGTCAGTGTCAGGACATCAAGTCCACAGTTTCCCTAACAGGAAAAGGACCGGAGCTAGCTTTCCTTCCTGGGTGCGTTGTGCGAGGTGCATCCACCTCCCTGCAGCACATACTCTCCACAGCTGAGGCCTATCAAACAAAACCTTTACCAGGAAACCGATTTACATATATATATATATATATATATATCTAGAGATATCTAGATATATATATAGATATCTAGAGATATCTAGATCTATATATAGATATCTAGATCTATAGATATCTAGAGATATCTAGATCTATATATAGATATCTATATATATATATATATATATATCTATATATATATAGATATCTATATATATATATAATAGAGATAGATATAAGATATAATCTATATATAGTATCATATATATATCTATATATAATATAATATATCTATATATATATCTATATATCTCTATATAGTAGATATTATATATATATATATATATATAGATATCTAAGAGAATATCTAGATCTATATATAGATATCTAGATCTATAGATATCTAGAGATATCTAGATCTATATATAGATATCTATATATATATAAGGGGTATATAGATCTATATATATATAGATATATATATAGATATATATAGATTAGCTATATAGATAATATATACTATATATATCTTATATATATATTCTATATATAGATATCTATATATATCTATATATATATATATATATATATATATATATAATATATATATAATATAGATATCTATAATATATCTAGATATATATAGATATATATATATCTATATATATATATTATATATAATATATATCTATATCTATATATATATATATATATATAGATATCTATATATATATATATACTATATATATATATATATATATAGATATCTATATATCTAGATATATATATATAGATAATATATATATATCTAGATATATATATATAGATATATATATATAGATATATATATATCTCTCTCTCTCTCATTCACTTTGAATGGGGTGATGTCACGATTCGCCGAACTGCATTGTGGGAGCAAAGCGTAGCTTCTCTCGCGGTGCTCGCTGCAAAAGTAGAGCAATGTCCTACTTTTGCCGCCTCGACGGAGGCGTTAGCCAATCAAATCCTGCGTATGCAAATCTGACAGTACAAACGCTAGCCAATCAAACCGCGTGTATGTTGGGAGAGCCAGACCGCAGTTATTTCCCATATGTCAAAAAATGGAGGAGAAAATTATCGTGGCGGTAGGGAATCACCCGGTACTATATGACCAGTCCCTCTTTACATACAGGGATACAAACCGGAGGAGCCAGGCATGGGGGGAGGTGGCAGAGACAGTGGGTGAAACTGGTAGGTTTTCGCCTGTTTGGGGAGTTTATCCAGTGTACTTCGTTTGAATGGACAGCTAGCAAGCATAGCCAGTATATTTAGCCAGCATGGATGTAGCATGAATGCTTTGCTTTGTATGTCCGGGGCGGGACATTCATGTGATTGGTTGTTGCTCGCGTTGACTCCCCAAGCTCAAGACACGCCCACCGCCAAGCGGCAACGCATGCCGCCGTGTGTAGGCTCCGTAAGACGTAGTGTGGAGTTGCATTAGGTAACACTGTGGTGGCTGTACTCCTCCAGCCGTTTCCTTTGTGTTTGTTTGTTTGTTTGTTTCCCCCTGTCTGTGTTGTTTGTGTGGGCGTGGTGGCTGTCACTCCTGGCTCCCGGCTCAACCTCCACTCACCTGCTGTAATCAGCTGTGCACCCTCCCCGACTACACACCTGCTTTCCATCAAGCCATTTACAACGGCATATCAACGGAGGCTCCACAACCTTTCTCCGCCAGATCGTTGTAAAACGATAGGGTTACTTATGTAACCCCAGTTCTCAGAGTAACATGAAGTGAGATGTCTCACTATGGGATGCGCCTCAACGTGTATGCAAACAGAAGCATCAATCTCATTACGCCAATCCCGATTGGCTGGTGATCTTGACGTCTACGTCAGGGAATCCACCCACCCTTTAAGTAGCTTGCGCTACATCGCAGCGTCATTCAAAATAAGCACCTCTTCTCGCTTCGCCTTAGCAAGAAGGGCCGTCTGGTGAGACATCTCACTTCATGTTACTCTGAGAACTGGGGTTACGTAAGTAACCTATAGTCCTCATTCATATTGAAACTCCCGTATTGCTAGACATGCTTATCTCGAAAATCACCAACAATAACCAGAACTTAACAGGTAGAACCCTGTCTCAACACGGGGCCCAGCACTGCGCGGGCCACACTTGGAGCAGAGACATCTAGCCTGTAAAAGCGGACAAAAGTGAGCGGTGAGGACCAGCTCGCTGCTGCACAAATGTCTTAGATGGAAACACCCTTGAACAAAGCCCAGGATGTAGCCAGTCCACGAGTAGAATGAGCATGCAGGCCCATTGGTGGCTGCAAACCCTGACTCGTATAAGCCAGAGCAATCGCTTCCACAATCCAGTGGGAGAGCCGTTGCCTGGTAACGTGCTTGCCCTTATGAGGGTTAGCCCAGGATACAAAGAGTTGGTCATTGCATCGAAACTCTTTTGACCTGTCCATATAGGTGCGTAAAGCACGGACTGGGCACAGCAAATTCGGCCGCTGTTCCTGATGTTAAGTCCATTTCCCTAATGGCGCGAACTTGAGGATGACGTTCTGACATCACTCGAGGCGGCGGGAAGATGGGGGCATGGTTGCACCCCGGAAACACATGAGCATCTAACACTGGAACGTGTTCTGGAGCTGGAGAACAGGGAACTTCCAGCTCTTTTATCGAGGAGAGGAGAGGAGGCTGTTAGGCCGCCCTCTTCTTCTTCTTCTTCTTCGTCTGGTGGCTGAAAGTCTGGGCCGGCTGTGCCTGAGCGGCTGCTGCCGGAACCGGAGACTTTCTTGGCCAGCCCGTCCTCACCTCGTGTCTGGGCTGGAGACCCGGGGCGGGCTGTGGCCTCTGCTGTTTCGGGATCTTGAAACGGGCAGGACGTGAGGCAGCCTGAGCGAAGGACTGCCGCGGGGCCGTTGAAGGCGGCGGCTGGACCCTTCGGGGAAGACAAAGCTGGAGCGCCTCATCCTCCTTCTTTTTGGACTCACACCGCTGCTGCATCGAAGCTAGAGCGGAGCCAAATATGCCCTCGGGAACAATAGGCATGTCCAAGACGTCCTCTTTTTCCCGGTCTGGAAGGTTCGTCAAGGTAAGCCACCTGGCTCTCTCCTGTACCACCATTATCCCCAGTGCTTTGCCCGTGGCTTGGACTGCACAGCGCTGCACACGGAGACAAATGTCCGTGATCGCTGCGATTTCGTCCCACACGGCAGGCTCAGGTTTGACCGTCATGTCCTCGCAGAGCTCCGCCTCGTAGGCGGTCAGCAGCGAGGAGACGTTGAGCGCCCTGGCGGACAAAGCTGCGGCTTTATAGGCTCGTTTGGTCATTGCTGACTGGAAGCGGTCTGCCTTTGCCGGTAGCGTGGGGTTCCTGCTTGGTGCCGAAGCCAGCCGCGGTTGGAGGTGGGCTGCCACCAGCGGCTCCATGGGCGGCATGCGGAGCAGGCCAAGCATCTCCATGCCGTCACAGTCCAAAGAGGAGGCACCCTGGATTGGGACCTTGTTGCTGAAAGGGCGGTCTCTCCACGAGACCGACACCTCGTCCAGCATCTCTGGAAAGACTGGGAGAAGCTGCTTCCTCATCCTCGCTGCTTGGAGCAAGTTCTTCCCCTCATAGCGAGATCTGGAGGTCTCCTTGGCCACTTCAGGCCAGGGGATGTCCAGCCTGGACGTAGCGCGTTGGCACACGGCCTGCAAGTCCATACTGAGGCAGGGCGAAGATGTCATCTTCATCTTCGTGCTCATCCGAGTCGGATAAGAGGAACTCAGAGGCATCCTCTTCATCCTCCTCCATATAATACAGCTGTAGGACATCCTCCGCGGGTGGAACCACGGTGAGGTCCAGCTGGGAGCCCCAGCTTGACACAGCGCGGGGCTCCGCTCTCGCGGCTCTTGCCGCCACCGGGCCCCAGCCTGACACGGCGCGGGGTTCCGATTCCGCGGCTACTGCCGTTGTTGAGCCCCAGCCTGACACAGCGCTCAATCTCCGCGGCGGTCGCCACCATGTCCCAATTTCCGGCCGGCGAATCAACGGACATGGAGGGGTCCTGTCCTGGCGCGCTAGCCGTCGGCGGAGGCTCTTGATGGTGAAGCGGGCACAATGCCCGCACGAATCGGGGGTATCGATAGCTTCCTGGGCGTGTTCCAGCCCAAGGCAGGACGAGCAGACCTGGTGTGAGTCCGTGCTCGAGATCTTAAACCCGCAGCCGCAGAGCCGAGCCTCCGACTCCTCTGGTGTGAGGGAGAGAAGGGTCCATCCTCGTTTGCCGGGGTGTCGGCGCGGAGGGACAAGCTAGTAACAGGTATGTTACCGAGAAAATAAATTCAACCTTATCGTTATTCCGAAAGGAAAAACAAGGGGGTAGATTTTTTCCCCAAAAAATATTAACTGGTGTGTTAATATCTTTCTTATCTCCGTCTCCTCTGGTGTGAGAGAGAGAAGAGTCCGTCCTCGCTCGCCGTGGTGTCGGCACGGAGGGATAAACTAGCAACAGGTATGTTACTGTTTGAAGAAAAAATCAAACCTTACCGTTATTCCGAAAGAAAAAACGGCGGGGCAGATTACAATATTAACTGGTGTGTTAATATTTGTTCAATTCTTCTGCAAAGCAAAAAAGTAACCGGCAAGCGCCCGTCGACCGAATGTTAGCTTGGGTTCAGTCTGTGGACCGTTAAGCTAGCCCGGTTACTGATATTCGAGATGTGCTCTGAAGCGAGAAGAGGTGTTTGAATGACGCTGCGACGTAGCGCAAGCTACTTAAAAGGTGGGTGGATTCCCTGACGTAGACGTCAAGATCACCAGCCAATCAGGATTGGCGTAATGAGATTGATGCTTCTGTTTGCATACGCGTTGAGGCGCATCCCATAGTGAGACATCGAACGGAGTGTTATGAATGAGAACCACAGTGGTATAACTTCAAGGCTACTTAGCATTATAGCTATTTTCTCATACCTGGATGTTTTAGCGTCTAACGTGTTTTCTTCTTGTGCTCCAGGATCATTCTCCGACCGCCGTGTTGCCGCCACCAGCTGCCACGTCCTCGCCACTCCAGCCGGATTCTACTCCCCGCACCTCGTCGACTAATAAACCCTTTTTCAACACTCTGCCGTGTCCTGCGTTTGGGTCCTCTCAGATACCGTAACAAACGCGAGATACGGCTGATACTTGCGCATTAGTTTCTGTTATGGATCAGTATCAACAGTCCTGCCAGTAACGTTACTATATTATCAATACTACTTTAGTTATAGCCTGATATATGATAGCTAACTTTACAATGTTGCGATGTGACCGACGTTAGCTAACATTAACTGTAGCTAACTCTAGCTTTATGTATATTTTTTGGGAAAATCTAGTGTATACATTTTCCTACACATTTATTCACTGGTGTGTCTAACCTGCAAGTTGCTCTTTAAACATTTCTCCCACTTTCTCTGCAACAAATAATAAAGGCCTTAGGACAGACCTTTTTTCATGAAAGCAGATTTGGAGTAGTCTGAAGTTATGTTAAAGATATGGTTCTCAAATAGGGGTACGCGGACCCCTAGGGGTACGTTGGAGTACTGCAGGGGGTAAGTGAGATTTATTTTATGTTAATGAAAAAAAAGAAAAGAAAAATATACCAATTTTAGCAAAAGTAACGAAGTTTGAGCAGTGTGGGTTTTATATTCATAGACTAGAGTTACACATATTTCAAAACGTGAAGTGTAATAACTGCAGTCCGAATGACAAAGATCCTCAGTGAAGCACAATCCCATGTTTCTCACTAAATTGTAAGTACAACTTATTCAAAAGATCAGTTCAATGCAACTAATGTCGTCTTAGTGTTATTAAATGATATTAAAATTGGTTGGCCATGAATTTAGTGATGGATTGTAAACATTTGAAATGTAGCATTTAAGTGTTTCTCAGTTACAATGTTGTTGTTTTAATAAATCAGACACTGATGGTGCAAGGCTGTACTGTGCCTCTTTATAGCTTTTTTCCCGTAACAAATAGTTTTTGCGCTGATCAGGGGGTACTTGGCTGAATTTTTTTTTCAAAGGGGGTACATTATTGAAAAAAGTTTGAGAATCACTGTGTTAAAGAACAATATAAGGCTAACTTGACTGCATTGTTGAGTGTCTTAAAAACAATTGCAGCTGTTTAGGAGCTGCTAATAGTGTCTTTTTTTGTTATCAATAAATAACATGGCGAGGAAAACCCAATTCAAGAACAGCAAACAGCACTTAGAGAAACAAATCAAAAAACAATTGTGCCATTGTGTTACTAATAGCAGTGTGGGCATACCTGGTCGTGGTAGTGGGCCGGGTTGCCGGTGCCGCCAACTCCAGCACAGGACGCGGGCAGAGCACTGGGCCGCTCCACGGGGCAGCTGGGCTCCTGAAAGGGCAGGGTCCCGGGGGGCTGTGGAGCGGGGTGGTGGACATGGTGGATGAAGTGGTGAGCGTTGCTGTGGTTGTGAACGTGGCCCCCGGTCTGCTGAGAGGACGCCGCCTGCAGGCAGCTTGAGTGGGAGTGGCTCAGGGACAGGTGACCGGTGGAGGGGCCTCCACACGGGGAGTGCTGCTGACAGCAGGACGGGAGCCGAGGCATGGCTGCGCCAGCGTTCTCTCCTGCTGTACCAGACAAACCTGTTCTGCTGTCATCTGAAGGGTGGAAGACATACAGTATGAGTAGGGAAAATATAGGATGGAACAGCAGGAGAGCATTTTAAAAATGGCAAAAAATAAGAAAAACAACATGTGACTATACAATATGTAATATTTAAAATATTTTTTTATTTAAAAAAAGATAAAGGTACAATATTGCAAATATTAATATTATGTTAGTATGGAAAGCTTAATCCATGGAGAAATGTACACATCGGTTTTTGAAAATCTAGTACCTTCAAACGTGCCACAAAGAAAAAAACGACACTTTTTTGAACATTATGTGTGCCAGTTTATTTCTGGCCGTAGTGTATATAAAAGGCATCAGCTAACAGAAAGTAAACATGGATGGAAAATGATTTTTGTTTTGAATATGAAAGCAGTTTAACTTGGCTACTTTAATGTTTTAAGATTTTAGAAGGACAGTTGCCCACAAAATAAAAGAAGATTATATTATTCCTCTTACCTGTAGTGCTATTTATCAATCTAGATTGTTTAGTGTGAGTTGCAGAGGGTTGGAAATATCAGCCTTAGAGAAGTCTACCTTCGTCTGCTTGTGTTCTATATATGGTCACTCTAATCTTTTTAAATTATTTTCCCTTAATTTTAATTGGTAGTGAACATTTGCAACAGGAAAGGCAGGGGAGAGAGGGGACGACATGCAGCAGAATGCCGTGGGCATTGGCATACCTGCCAATACGATCAGGGCGCAGAAGAAAGCGTGCATCTCTGACATATCTCTAACACTCGGCAACTCACACCAAAATCTAGATGGATAAATAGCTCCAATACTACAGGTAAGATGATTAGTAGTTTTTCAGTTATATCAGCAGCTTAAAGGAAATATGTTTGGACCCAAGCTGTCTCAGAGCATAAGATTTGAAATGAAGTAGTTTAAAGCTTCTGGTCCTGTCTTACCCTCTGTGGCTGTGCGGCTGGAGCCACTCAGCCTCTGGGTGTGCATACTTTCAGGTATTGAGCCCGAGCAGCTAGTGGAAGGGCCCGGTGCATCATTGAGCTCTGAGGTAGAGGCATGATGAGAAGATGATGAAGAGGACGACCTGACGGTTTGAGGGTGAATGCTGCCAGAGGTTGTTGGCACAACTGTGAGATCTGCGGGGAGAAAAAGTCAGGTGCTGATTCAGAACAATATTCTTCTCAGAGGGACACCTACAGGTTTGAATCTGCATTTAAAAAAGGACAGAAAAAGAGAATGCAGCTCTTGGACAAAACGTTAGAAGGTTACATTTCTTGAGTTACTAAACCAAAAAAAGTTACTGTAAATATTTAATAATAAAGTCTGAACTCACTAAAAGAGGAGGGGTCTGTATATGACTATGTACGTTTTTAAAATGGGTCAAATGTATTTTGTGCTCCATTCATTTGAGAACATTTACACAAAACTCATACACAAAAACATGTAGATGAACCATTTGTTTTTAGTAGATTAAAAGACACAGTTTTCACAATTCATGTGATAACTTCAAATTTGACACTTGATCTAATAAAGTGATGCTCTTATGGCCTGTAGCCTGTGTGAACTTCACACAGGCTGGTTCGGTTTATCAGTGGAAGACAACAGAAGAGCCTATTAGTATTCCAGTGTGCGCACTCTATCTGCTTTTCATATTCACAAATTAATTTCCCTCTCTAACTCATTGAAAATGCAAATGCTCTAATACCCTCCGTCATGGGCGTGGGCTGATAAAGAGAGTCACACAAACATCTATAGTTCTGAAGCAGCTCCCTTTTACACAAAGTTAACATGAATGGTTAATATTGAAGAACAACAAACTCTTTATTCTTATGACTAAGTGGATAATGTATGCACATCTGTGTTTAGCAATCTAAGCATCCATTAAAATTTACAAAAGAGGAATGTCTAAGACCTTCACATAGCAACATATCATGGTGTCACTGCTGGCAGGTGGTTTGATCAGAAAAAGTGTTTTCTTACCATCTTCATCCACAGTGAGGTCCACCACCTCCCCAGCATTCTGACGCAGTGGTTGGATGACAGTGGAGAGTCGGTGACGTCCGCGTGGCTCCTGGAGACGATTCTGGGAGCAACTGCTAGACCAAATCCTGCTAAGACCCCCCACTGAGCGAGACCTGTAGACACACAGACAAAAAAACAATTACATCTAACTTCAATAGAAAGTAGTCCCACAGTCGCAGCCAGACTTTGGTCATCTGTTACATTTACCTTTTGCGAAGGAAATAAAATAGTCGCACTGTCTTGGCAAATTGAGGATTGACGTTTTTCTCAGGTCAAACGTCCTTATATGGAGCAAATACTAACATTTACAATGACTGTTATGTATACAGCATATTGAATGGGGTTTTCCAATTCATATATGTATGTTATGCCCATATTACTCGGCCTTAATGAGCATTATTTTAACATGTATACAGCTCATTCAGAATAGATTTTTTAGATTTAATTTTTGGAAATGCGTACATTTTTGCATTGTGGACATTTTCATAATTGCGAATGTACGTGTGTGAATAAAAACATTTGATCAAAAAAATAAATGCGGATATACAAAGTAAAAAGGGGGTCCACCACCGCTAGAAACAACATCTATATTGACAGGTGTGTTTAAACCTGAAAATGTAATGTAACTGGCCATGTAAACAGCTTAGTATGAATGTTGTCTTTTCCAGAATAAGGGCAAAACTGGGAATATTTTGTTCATGTTCCAAAGCCACTGTCTTCAATCTATTTGAGTATGTCAGAATATTTCCAGCGCACTTGCAGAGAGTGCTTGTCTTCTGATGTGAGTGTTGTTCTGTTGCAGGTTATTTAATTTTCGGAGCAAACAGAGATATTTCCTCATAGGTTTATTTTTAGAGCACTTGTTTAGTGCATAGGATTCTATTTGTAGAAAGATAACAGTCACAAACCAAGGAGTCCATTATAAGACAGCCTTTTTTTAATTAGATTAGCTTACATTTAATAATGTTTATGCATCTATATGAGAGTAATTCATGTATCATCATTGATCATGTAAACAAAACAGTGTTTGTGGTCTATGTATCCCACAGATTTGTTCTGTTATGTATGAAAGTATAAGAATGGTAGGACTTTGTAGACCCAGTACACACTTTGTAGACCCAGTACACACTTTGTAGACCCAGTACACACTTTGTAGCGCACACAAGTTGACTCGAAAACACCAGAGCACAAGCAAACACACACTTTTTTAGATGTAAGAAACTACAGCTAGCTTTTTCCTCTGTACTGCCATCATGGAGCTGGACAGCTACAACCACCCCCCCCCCCTTCTCCTTCCATCTAAATCTCGCAATTTTTTCCACCCACCTTCCCTTTTCCTATATCTCGCTTGAATGCTCTGTACCTCTCCTGCCCTGCCTTCGGCCCTTCCTCTTTTCTTCCTTTTAATTTTCTCTCTCAAAGGCTCTGTCGCTCTACCCTTTGCTCTCAGAGACTGTAGGAAAAGGCCAAGGAATAGCTGCATTTCCCCCCACAGTGCCGTAAAGCGCTGGGATCAGAGGGAGGAGGGGTGAGCCCGGGGGACAACAGACTAGAGGCTATATGGGAGTGCCGTAAAGCCGGATACCATGGAGCTTTGTGGCTAGGGGATTGAGCTGCTGTTCCCTGAGTGTTTAAAAAAACTGCACAGGAGCTGAGGGAAAAGGCTGTACGATGAGAGCCAAAAACATTGCCTTGTTAAACACAAATGTATCATAGCTACGGAGCTATTGGTGTGTCAAATTAAACCATTAACTAGCTTGGTGACTCTTATTGATTAAATCATAGACACATACAACATTATAAAGGGATTCAACATATCGTTAATTGCCTAAGATTTCAGCAGAAAAGAATCAGACAAGTCAGGTGAACTGGAAAACGTTTCCATTGACACAAAGAGACAGTTTTTAACCAGCAGAGAGTGGGGGACTATTTGCGATTAAAGAAACAATTGGAAAAATGTTAACCCTGTATGTATGTATATAAAAGTTATGCATTTCATTTTTGTAAAGCACTTTGAATGGCCTTGTGTTGAAAGGTGCTATATAAATAAACTTGTGTTGCCTTGAAAAATGAAAACCCTAGCAATGCTTCATTATTTCTGTCAGGCATCTATCAAGCGAAGCGACTAACTAACATTTTAGTTTTTATGATTTCATATTTTAAATGTATTTCATTAAATGGAATACTGGAACATACATGTCTTGGTTGTGTATAATCAAATGTAAGCACATGAGTTCAAAGATTGTATAAACAAATAGCTAATGCATAAATAATAGTATGCAAGGTTATTGACTGGTTAAATTATTGATCTATTCCTCTTTATGCTGAATTAGTTTGGCTTTGATCACATTCCTCAGATGTGTGTTAATGCAGGAAATGCCTTTCTCCCTGCTGTTGGTGATAAGGGGGATTCCCATCAGCTCACACTGTCTGCTTCCAATTCAATTTCCTGTGAGACATGTTGCACAATGCAAGTGGAATAGACGGGAAAGCTTATTAACTTTCATATATCACAAATCGCTAAAGCAAACTTGTGCATACATACACACAGTGTGCCTGTCCTACCAACCAAACACATAGCAATGAGGGCGGTGTGCAGAGAGGGGCACATGGTGGGTGTGTTGGTGTATAAATGGCCAGGCTCCTCCGCTCTGGTTGATCCCAGGGAGCCACACTGGCCATTAGGGAGGGGAGCCTAATTAAGTAGACCTGGGATTATTTTGTAAATATCTGTTTACCACTATGATCTCCTGGGGGTAAGATGGGTAGGGGGGAGGAGGCAAGATGAAAACAGTACATTGTAAACATGAACACTATGGGAATGGGGGGCTGAGGTTGTGCCAAGGTGATGTGAGCACGAGCCCCAGGGAAGAGGGGGGGGGCTGAGATCTGCAGTAAACTACTGGGTTAACATTTAAAAGGAATGAGGTCATTCAAGGCATGATTCAATGCTGTAAGAGGGCTAAACAATGTGTTGATGAAACACACTTTGCACCGTTTAAACAAATCACGTTTGTCTTCACAATTCGGGATATAATGACATCACTTTTTAACTCGGCAGTGAGGAGAGAACCGGCCGATGCTTGTCCCTTTATCTAAAATAAGGAAAATGTATTATTTAATCACAGACTGCATTGCAAAGCCTTTAGATGTTGCTTTACCACATACTTATCAATTAGCAACACGAGATCTTACAAAGTACACTTTTAGTTGGCTACATGTAAAAATAGCCCTTACATGTCTATACTTTATAATGTAAGATAACCATTTAGACTAGAGAATATAAGCAAGATATATAAAGTCTAAATAAAGGCATCGGTTGTAAAAGATCCAAAGAAAATCTGACCAAACTAGTACAAAGTTTTGTTTACAGCTTTGATTGCTGGCATACGTTTTAAGTAACATTTGGGCAAGTGGACTTTAATCTGCAAGATGAATGTCTAGTAAAGCTCCAAATGTTAGTGGGAGAGGTTATTATTTTAGGTTCATAGGACATATTTGTGGCTCAGTCAATAAATGCAGGGGACTTTCAAATCCGTTTGTTTGTAGCCATCTCAAATGCAGGCACAACTTTACTTTTTCAAACATGAATAGGATTTACACATTCAAAAAGTGTGGGGATTGCTACGCATGTCCTGATCTGATATACAGAATCAGGGCAGCATCTGATCGAGGCATTTTATTTTTTCTATCCATATCCTCTACATAATCCTTGTTTATTGTAACATACTGCTATCTGGGTAAAACTGCTGCCAAACACGCCCAACAATGCACTGTTAAAACACTGGAATGTTCTCTTAAAGCACTGCGAGCGAACTGTGGAGCGACACCAACAAATAAACAGTTCAAATGAAACATGTCAATACTGACAGCATGTCACTGAGCAATGTGAAAGAGCAGGTTTGTGTTACAAAATGTTGCTTTGCCCCAATTCTAGTGACATTTTGCACAAAATACCTAACGTGCCGCTGTTGGTTGACAAACTGTATTTGAACTTCCACATTTTGTACAAGCAGAAGCGAGAATACTGTCCTAACCCTGACTTTATCATGTTAGACACGGACAAAAACAAAATATGGCCAGACTTTAAACACAATACCAAAGATTCAACTTTATGATAATTGTGGAGGATGTAGTTGAACTGAATCGTACGACCATGAAGTTGTATCTCTCTTTAACGTTTTAACAGAAGTCAAACATTATCAACCCCATGAAGGTTGTTCAAAATAGAATATCTTGGTAGACTTGGCATTTCCACATAGAACACACATTATTACACTACCAAATAAAGCCAGAGCCCAACTACACTATGTGTTTTTTGTGTACGTGTGTCCTGCGTCCATACTGAACAAAACTGCACACAAACACACATTCACAAATCAGACCACTGGCGGTGTCAACAAAGCTTTCATTGCTCATTCTGTTGGCCTTTGGTTCCCCGCCCTCCTGCTCCCCTGCCGCCCATCCCCCCCTTCAGAGAAGCTCATCGCTGCATTCTCCAGCGAGCCAGGACATCTTTGACAGTCAGGAAAACAGGAAGATTAGACAAGCCATAGCATTCCCAGCTTGGTGAAATCACTCCTGGGAACTATTTTCAGATATTACTGATGCATTGACGGAAAGTATGGAAGAAGGATAGATACTGTGTTGGAAAAAGATTACAAAGGGATATAGATAGAGGGTAGCACAGGGGCAGAGGTTTGCGAATTGAGCTGCTTAATCGCCTACATGAGGAATTAGAGGAGTATTATTAGGGAGAATTGAGACAGGAAGGCATATTATAAAATTGAGAAATACGATTTTTTAATGTGGTGAGGAAAATGTCTTGGGCTGCCGGGAATCACAGTGGGAGCTATCTATCTAAAGTCTTGCTCTCGCACTGTAGATATTTAGCAGATCTAAAAAAAACAGAGCCATATTCCAATTACACCTATTAATACTTAACATATTTCTTAAAGCATAATCAACTACCCTATTTAGCCATGCCCTTTCAAAAGGATCAGACTAGTTTGGTGTTCTATAAGATGATATAGTGGACATGATACAGATTCATTGGGTTTACAGTTTGTTCTGGTATATAATGTGTTTTAGGTTTACTTACAGGAACTGATTGATGGACTCAAAATGTAGCTTTTGGTCAGAGATATCACAGTGGGCAAGAGCTTGTCAGACATTTTCCTCTTAAACAGCTCAATATACAACATTTATCTGTGCATACATCGCTGCCATTACCAGTTAGATATCACTGTGTGCGTCTACAATTATAGTTGAGATTTGTTGACAATGATTACCTGCCTCATTCTACTTTCTGACCATTACAAACTGTGTTATAGAAATGAATTGAAACCAGGTAACATTTTCTAGTAAATGGGCTAGAGCGATCGAAAACATTTTAGTAAAAAAATATAACATTTAGTGTTTCACTTTGGCACTTGCTCTTAACAACACAGTCAGTGTTAATAACAAGTAATATAATATGAAGGGCAAAAGTTTTGGTTGCAAATGACCCTTCAGCGTGCTCAAACTGAAAACTATTCCCTTGCCACTCAAGCTGCCCACTCATGCCACCGACTTATTATGAACCTTTGTTCTCAAAAGCAGTCAGCTTTATGTATGGCATTTCTAGAATCAAACAACATGGGCAAAGAGCAGGTCCCTTCAGCCTGATGTGGTTTTGTTTCTATAAACAACGAGGCATGCAGCCTATTCTATCTGGGCAATGCAAGCTATGGAATGAGCAAAACACTGGAGTACATTGCAACCCACCCAGCCTCTGCTGTTTAATCATAACGAAACCATACAGATTTTAAACGTTAACAATCAGCAAACTGCATTTACTCCCTTTTTACTTCTATTATACATGCAAACACTAACAGATACTGTGGTTACAGTCCTAATCAAGTGAAACGGCATTTCTGCGAGCAATTGAAGAATGTTTATAGTGACAAAACCCAAATGGTTGTTTTCTATAGTCATCTTGAATAAATAATAAATACAATTACAATTAAAAGAGGTTTCATAGTGAAACCATAAATAAAATGTCCATCCAAGCTTATCGTCCAGTTGTTTCTCCACTGCCTACATGTTTATTTTCCAAACAACCAGAATATTGCTTCATTCACTGTTCCTTGTCTGTTGCTTCATGTGCGCTATCACAAGTGCGACACACGCTCAAGAACGCCCTAATCCAATACACTGGTGCTTCATGATAGGATGAGTAATAATAAAAAGAGAAGGCAGACTATTGACTAACATCCAAGTTCAAGTAAAGAACCCAGCCAAAGGCAAACATTAGGAATAAAACACAACATGTTATTGTTATTAAAAAAGACAAAGACTAGCCTAGTAATCAACACATAAAAGGGAAAGGGGGTTCTTCACGCTTTAAGAAAGGAGAACACCACCACATGATCAGTCATGCAAATAAAACTGTGAAGCTTGTCCTGAGCTCCAGGTTTCAAAAGTCCAGATAACTCCCAATAACAAATGCTCTTTCATTTGGCAAGAATATTTGTGGTGTACCTCAGGGTGCAATATTAGGTCCTAAACCAAACTATAACCATCAGCATACACACACATTTTTGTAACTTTCTTTTGATGGGAAAAGTCGACTTTTTGTTCAAACAAGAAAAATATTCTATATTTATTATCCATCTAAAAAGTGGTGTCCTCCTGCCTGCTAACACCTTTAGACAAAGCAAAGGGAGGGACCACACGCTGTTTACAGAAAACTAAATGAGAAGAATAAGACTGCCATGAACGGTGCATCTCTAAAACAAAACCACTATGAATACACTTCATACCCCTTGTTGTACGGGGCAGTTAAGCTACTGTAATGTAAAATGAACATAAGCATTTTATGTCAATGCTTGTTGAAAAAGCTGAAGTGCCTACCTGAAACCATCTCCGACTGTGACAATTTCCACTTCACTGTCTGTTGAGGTGACGTTGATCTCCTCGCTTGCAGGGACAGCAGGAGTTGGAGCAGGAGTTGCCTCGATCACAACCACATCCTCATCCAGGGCACCTGCACACCAGTTGAATTAGTTTAGACATACACAAAACAATCTGACAAAAGCAGAGAAAGCTTACAACTACAATACAATCGACAGAAAATACATACTTGAAATAATAACTTCTAGCTTGACTGCTTGGGTTTATTTATAAGGAATTACATATATATATTTCACACTTTACTGGGTTGTTTTTGTAAGCCTGGTTCTGCCTTTCTGGTCTTTTTGCATGGCTTCAATTGAAAAAGCAAGTTGTGTAGGTAGCCAGATAGTATTTCTCCAGTTTCATCATGCTAACAGCAGTATCATCGGGCTTAACAGTTTACCGGGAGAAATGTAGGTCATCAGTGCTCAACTCTGTTTGCGTTGGGATTGGCTTTTTCCCTTTCCACGTTCCTAAATCTGCGCTGTGATTGGTTGCCTGTGCACTAGATCTCACTTTATCTCTGCCTGAACTAAATACCGTGTGAGTCCCCTCAGGTGAGCTCACATGGAATAGGTGGTTGCAAAAGGGATCAAAACGAACACAGATGAGGGTAGTTGACTGATAAATAGCAGTTATTAGAGTATTATAGTATAACATTATTACAATTTTCATAAAATGAGCACAACAACTTTTATCGTTACACAAATCAATCAATGTTTATTTATATATGAAATGTTGTTCGTAAAGTTACAAGTCCCCTTCTAAATTCAAAAAAGTTAAATCTAAATAACCTTTTTCGGTCACCTCTATTGTTTCCAATCTTTATATACACATTTGTATTCAATATAGACAGAACATTAAGCTGTCTCTGTTCAGACTCACCAGTACAGTGACTGCACTGAAGCCTTTCACTAAATGTAATTGCTACATAACTTGTGTTAGTGATGAACAAAGTCAAACAATGTTATGCTGCAGAAAAAGAAAACTGTGCTGTTGGGCACAACACTTAGTGCCTGGCCATAATTCCCTAGTGTGATTTATATTCCAAATGTCCCCTGAGAACTGCTGCTTAGCACCCTCTGCAAGACGTGGTGCCTGGCACTGAGGTGAAGCCTTCACATGGTTACACAAACAACAACATCCTACTTTTCTTACAACTTGTAGAAAATTGTAATGTCTACAGGGTTTGTTAGGTCAAATAAATACCGTATAACATAACTCCGGATCAAAAATGTCAAAAACATGGGACAACTTTCTGTAGTCCAACAAGCCATTTGCTCATATTTACAGGACTGACTGCTATTGATGATGTCAAAAGCAAGCACAATGGGATTTATATTTATATATCTTAAAACAACAGTGCAGGTCTGACTGTCATATCAATTTAACTTTTCATATAATTAATGAACTTGTCCTTGTGTTAGAGGTAGAATTAACCCAGGCTACATCACACACCTGCTCCAGCCTTCAGAAGGCAGGTTTCATCACTTGCCTCCTACTGTAAACAAATGCCTGGTTTTCCCTGTGAGACCTGCTGTATCTATGCAAAGGCTGTCACTAAACAGAGCCTGAGTTTCCTCCCAGCTGCCCCCCCCCCCCCCATAAAGGCACAACAACTAACTTTCCATTCTCCCATAGGATCACAGCAGAAGAAGAATTGCTGAGGCTAAACAGCTACTTCAAAATATACAGAGCAGAAAGTTTAGATTTAGGAGGCGTATAAACCTGTTGTTCTGACAGGTACAGAGGGCTGCAGTTTCCATTACAGCCCGCCAGGTGTGGGACTATGAACAGCAGAGGGGAGTAGCAACTCCTACATCAGCTGTGCCCAAACCATAACAAGACACACAGACCATAATCTTATGTATGTTGCAAGGTTACCTTGTTTATGCAAAAGTGAATTTAAAGGCTTAAATACTTCTTTTTTTTTACATTTACCTCCTAGTATTTTAATGTGGGACTCAGTCGAGCAGCAATAGGATGCCATGTGGAAGGCATGAGCCATAATGTTTTCACTACAGCTGAACACATAGGAGGTGAGTTCTCGGTTTACTTCCTATTCTCTGGTTGAGAGGTAGGATGACATCACCAGGTGCAGAATGAAAAACCTGTAGACACTCTTGATCTTGCTTTAGTAAACAGACAATAAGTGCAATCGCGTACCATCATCACACTTCTGCTATAGACAATTCATTTCACATAATAACAGTGAAGGGAACTGGAAATCTTTGGTTGAAAAGCTTAACACTTTCTGAAAGCAACAACACTAACAACCTATTTTGTGAGGCCAGCTCATTTTGAAAGTTGTATAATGTGTTGACCTCTTCATTTCGGTGTTTCTGTTCTGCTTTTCAGTGCATAATATTAATTCCTATTGCAGCAATTTACAGCATTCAAAATGTTAATTCATGCTGGATTGTGCATCACTTCTGCAACGTTAGAGTTTCTGGTGCCTGTGAGCATAAGGAGACATACTTTTCATGATATTGATAACTCTTCAGCCCTCTTATCTAACATTAGTTACAAACGGCCCTATCCTACTGTGTTAGCCATTCAAAGCTTATTTTATGGATTGTTTATCAATAAAATACATTTACCTTCTCCAAGTGAGCCTTCAAAATACACGCAATGACTGACCCTAAATGCATAGTCACTCTGTAGTCCGTGGTACTATGGTGATCACACTGAAATCCAACAGTATTATGCTTCCTGAGCCTTCCCTTTGGTTTACAATGTGATACAGCCTACTTGAAACCAATCTGTAAAACAATATTAAACAGCATTGCAACACATTCATAAAACTGTAGTAGAGTGATGGTTTGTAATTACCTGTGGCTACAGTAGCACTGTTGGGCTGGCTGCTGGTGCTGCTGACATCTACATACAGCTCATCTTCTGCTTCCGTAGACGAGGGGGAGGAAGAGTTACTACTCAGCTCCTCGCTGGAACTACTGGTGCTGTGGAGTAGAGCATACTTCCTTCGTGCAATCACTTCGCGTTTCTTTTTCTGCAGTAGTAGTCTTTCCTTTTGCTTCTGAGTCCGCTGACCCCCTCCAGGAGGTGTTTTCAAAAAGCGCTTCCTATGAAGAGGCCGCCGGCTGCTCAGACACGGCCGCTTCAGCAGCACTGGCTCAGCTTCAGACCGCACCCACTTATGAGAGCGATTCCCCCGAGTTCGACCCAGAACAGGGCGCAGGCCAACTCCAGCGGCTCCGCCTGTCGTCAGAGCAGGAGCCTTGTGTTGGCCCCCTGTTGCTCCAGCTTCCCCCCCCTCCTCCTCTGAGCTAAGAGTGTCTGAGTCCCCGAATCGCAGGCTCGAGGAAGGGGAAGAAGCACAGTCACTAAAGGAGGAATCGTGATTATGTTCGTCCTCACTGGGGTGCTGTAAAAGTTCTACCCTGGGACGCTGCGGGGCCAGTGAACTCTCACTGATGTGGCCCTCCTTCAGCGAGCAGTCTGAGGGCCCTGCCTGTTGGCCTTTTCTTTTTCTGCGCCCAGGTAGGGTCCGTTCTGAGTCTCTGTGTGTGCCTGTGTCCCTCAGGGGCCGATGCCTGGACTCACACAGGGTTTCAAATTCACTGCCTGCCTTTCCGATCACCTCCATGTTGTCAGGGAAGCTCTTGGCTGCCTCCATGGGCTCTGGGTTCACCAGCGGCTCCTTCAGATGCTCCTGTCTGCTGGGGGCCTCAGTTGGCACCTCACTCTTCATGGTGGCAGGTGCGTCCTCAAAGGGTAAACAGAAAGGGCTCTCGCATCAGCTCTTAGGCACCTATCCGCTGCATCTCACAAAACCTGGAAAAAAAGAAGGGAAAAGAGTTACAGGTGCACAATCCATTGTGCTGCATGATTGCCGAATGACAAAACATGTCAATGACTAAAAACGTTCAAATAATCCAAAGAGGACAACCAATTTCCCAAGAATTAAAAGCAAAACATCACAATTAGTTATGAGTTTGACAGTGAAATTAACTATTCTCATTCATCCACCAATGCAATGCTAAAATACACTGTTAAGTATAAATCATATGTAAGCCAGTCACCAATGGCCTGTTCAAATATCAGTGATAAATCATGGTGCCTTGTCAAGATCAACTTTGACTCCATATGTTAAATAGGTCAATCCAATCTGATTCGTTTGGTTTGAGGATACGACTAGTTGCTGCTTAAATGTATAATGTATGACCACGTTAAATGTATGGATTCCATCCATCAGATCACTATAAAAAAATGGAACCTTTATTAAATGTAACAACGTTAGTCTCTGCAGGATTGACGACACAGCTTGTTGGACAAATTATAATACCTACGTTTACCACGGAAATCTTAAAAGGTTTCAAAATAAATAACAAAAGTTAGGTAGTAAAAGAGAGGCACATTTCAGTAACACTATTAGATGAAAAGAAATGTAGCATCAACATTTACATTGTTGTCCAGACTTAATATATTCATAATACAGATCATATGATAATTGTTATTCTCAGTATGCTGTCCTTGGTTAGTTGTTTGACTTCAGTCTTACTTACATCAAAGCACATCAGAATATCTTCAAACTAAATATTACTCCAAGTTATTTTCTGGCATTTTACTGATCGGTCCACAGCACACAGTCCAAAAAGCAAACATGAATATGCCTACTACAATACTTCAGTGTTCCATGTAGGAAACATGTTCATTCACTCAGTCATTATGTATGTTAGTACAAATTAAGACCGCAGGACCCAAGGTTGTTGATTAAAGATAGAAATAAATACCCTCAGGCTGAGTCAAACGTAATGGCTGAGTCAATACTGATGTGTTTGCTTTATTCTTGATTCAACGGAACAGTTCAAACAGACTTAATACAAATATGATCCCAAGGGGGGATATCCACCATGAATCTGATCTCATGTTTACGTCTTGACTTTGGGACAGTTCGTTAAAAATGTTGATCACTAAAAAGTAACTCCCGAAGAAAGAGACTCTTGAGGCATGTTACAGTGGCGGAATTTTCACAGCAGTGTAAGGTCTCCCGGAGCAACGGCAAATTCCAGCATTGCTGAAATGTAGGCTTCTTCTAAATACAACAAAGCGTACATGTCTCTGTTAAGACTCTTCGATTTTCAGATGGCTCATGTCATGACCTACTACACCCTCTGCCAGTCAACGGCGATGTTGGCATTGACAAGGAACATGATTCTGAGAAACAAGGTTTACAAATTGACTCAAGATCAAAAGTCCCCATGCCCTCAGCTGTCAATAGACCTGAAGGCTAATTTGAATGCAATGGATATAATTCAATGATATGCCCATATATATGTGTTCTAATATCCCCCTAAATGGTTAGATCACAAGCAGGATATTGTGATATTGCTGCATGTTGGAAAACAATTCAAGTATATTAAATCAAGTGAAATGAAGAGGCTTATTTACTTTTACCGATCAAAAGAATCAGTATGGACATCCTAATTTTGTATTTTTAGCAAAAACACACTGCGTTTTAATAATTTAAGAACAGTGTGAAGAATATGACATGATTAATATGCACTATACGCATGTAGGGATATCACCCACAGTGACAAGCCAACCACACTTCTTGATATGATGTAATCAGAAAACAAATTCACGAAGCTACTTTTACTTTCACAAAGGTATCTAGGAACATATTGTACTGACCCTGTCTATGTGTCTATCTGGAAGAACAACTGATCTAGCAAAACCAATGCTGCACTAGTCCCATCAACATTGTTTCCTGAGACTACACTACTACCAATATTAAGACGTTTGGATGTCTTGCATCTATCAAGATTCCTATTTAATGTTACCTTCATTGAAATCAAGCTTCTAATAAACAAAGCCTGACAAACATGGTAAAACATAGCCTAAACATTCAACTACTGCATTGAAGTCATTGTATTCCATAGTGGAGCAGTTATTCACAATTCCCTTTCCATCCCTCTGGCACAGTACAAATGTAACACAACAACATTCCTGGTTGTGTTGCTGCAGGGTTTTTGTATAGGATTGGATTAGATGGTAAAGGTGTTATTGGTATTCCTGTGGTTGCACTGCATTAACTAGTATGTGATGTGGCTGAACATATACTAAGTAATGTAATTGCATTAATCATTCACAACTGATTTCATAGTAACATGTTAGTTGTCACTTGACCTGAAGCGGCAACCTTTGTGAAAAATAGCTAGTGAGGTTTATGATGCCTGACATAGGCCACAGTGATTTCTGCTTTTATATACAATTCAGTTAATAAGTGAGAGTCCTTTAGATGCCACAGAGGAAGCTGCGCAATGACATGCCTGAATTCAGGGGCCTCAGAGGACAGCCCTGAAGGGGGAAAAAACCCATGCACCAAGGCTGAATAATGCACATTTCTAGTAAAAAAAAATAAATGGTACTCAAAACTATAAGTAAGAGATACTGCATATACTATCAATTATAGCCTTCGCAGCTACTTTTTTCATAAAACATATGGTGTAACAGAAATGGCAACAGCAAACCAATTCAAGATGTACGACTGAGACAGGACTGCTGAGCTGCTGCTAACAATTCTATCTGTGCTTTCTGTCTCCTAAACGACTAGCAACCATTCTGGCTAGGCAAGCACAAATAAAAAGAGCATCATAGATGTATTAAGCTTGACAGTATGCAGCCTGAAACTGAGGCTAAGCAGTTTCTACAACGCTAAACAATTACAATAAACTCGGCTGCTGTCTGTGTGTATCCCACAAACGCTGCTGAAGTCACTAGGGCCAGATAAACTCGAGTTAATGGAGAACCATTTAAAGATGCATATCTATGTTTATCAACTTATATTGAGATAATTAAGATAAAGACACGAAAGAAATGAAAAAAGATAGCTAGCCACCTAGCCTGACACATATTAGTTACTCCAGACAGAAGACAACAAAGACAGCACGTACCTGGGTCTAAGTCCTTTTCTCAAAATATGTCACCGTCCTTTTTGTAACATGAGAGGTGATATCCTGTGGGGAATAATGACAAGAGTTGTACACGAGCATTTATCCAAATGTTAACCCTAAATGCAACTAGACAGGCCTGCATAGAAATCGCGATCCGAGGAGGAGAGTGGCTGGGATTGTGAAACTGACAACACAGTCCCGAGCTGAGCCGAGAAGCAACATCGAAGGCAATGGGCCCTGGATGGCTACAAGCTAAGCTAACGTAAAGGCTAGTTCCACTTCACTCAGCAAATACCCGATCATACTAAGCCATTTAGCCTCACAAAACAATCATATCGAATTCAAAAAGGTAGACCAACCTGTCTATTGTGTTTCTATTTGACTGAGTAGAAATGTCGCACTATAAGCCCTCGACGAAGTTGCCATTCCTGCCTTTCGATGCATCCACTCTTGTTTACCCAGCAGGTCGTCTGTTCGCCTGATACATACAACACAGCTGTTCCCCTCTCTGCCGAAAGGGAGCGCCAGATCGAGGGCAGCCGTCAGCGACTTTACGACACTTTGCAACAGCTCCACTAAATCCTTTTCATTTTTCAACGCAGAATGTGTAAATAACAATTCACGCGCCCCGTTTCAATTCGAAAAAGTGCCTCAAAAGCGCTGTATAATTATAGACATATTTGCTTTGTTTAGGATTTCATTGAAGGCTACAGATGATGCATAATTGTTTTTGCATGCATTACTCTCCCTAAATCCTCGATTCCAAATACTCGAGCGCCCACTAGCGGATAAAGGTTGGATGTGTGCAGAAGGGCTAATTTAATATGTCTATCATATCATCAAATTAGGATTATTCATGTGGTAATGTTTACATCAATTCAATGTTAAAACTGGTAAAAACTTAAACTAATTCTTTATTTCCCCATATTCTGCTGGGTAGATTAATGGTTAAATAATATTATTCATCTGAATATGGAAAGTAGTAGCCTAACTAATGGTCCCAGATGCAGTGGAGTAAAAAGTAGAATAAAGGATTACAAAATGTTGATCGAAATAAGTATAAATAAGTATAATGGACAAATAGGCCTACCTTACAAATTGTACTTAGTGTAAAATACGAAAAGTACAGTGGAATATATTCTAATTTACAGCCTCGTAAATAAATGGCACATAAATGCCGTTTTTGTTCAGTGTACTCCTATATCATAGCCCTAAGTAGTAATATACATCAGTGAATAATATGAAGCTGTGAGCAGTTCAATAAGATAATTTTATTTGAATATTTCACCTGAAGAGGTTCATTGTGCTGTTCTTTTTTTAAAGATTAGAAACATGTCTAAAGAAAAAACTTGATTTGATTTTGATATTTATACAAATGTCTCACTAAGTCAGTGTGTGCTGACTTTTAGTTATGTAATTCATATGTTTTGTTTTTTTCTATAATCATCTGAGCCTGCCTGGTGTGGCAAGTTTAGATACTAGAAGACAGCCTAGATTTATATTTTGAAACAATAAAATTACATGAATATGTTCTGTGATTCAACGACTGGGTACATGTGTGCACTATGAATTGTGGACTGAAGATAGGTAAACATCAGCATGTAACTTTGAACTGGGTTTTCAGTCAAGATTATACATCGTACATTTCAAGGACTAATGTTTAGATTGTTTGCATGGCACATTTTCTGTAGACAATTGTATCTCCCAGGAAACCATGCCATGTAACATTACATTTTTTAACGGTGATTGCTAAACCCTTTATGCCCATTTCAGAATCAGAATCAGAATTCCTTTATTAGAACAAAATGTACATCGATACAGCAAAGAGACACAATGAAAACAGTTAGTAAAGTGATATGCAGACATAGCCTATTAACCTATAAAAAAAATAATTTCAAGGATATAAAAGCAGGTATTTATTTAAAAAAAATGGTAGAACGTTATGAATTAGCTGCAGGGTGACGGTAGTAAATACTATGATTACTAGTTTACAAGAACATGTGTATATTGACTAGTATTATATTACAGGTGTTGGTAGTGCTGTATCAAGCAACACAGCAAAACAATTCGACACAAGTAAAAAAAAAAATGATGTGTAGCCTATAATTAATTGTCTTTTATCTGTTTTGTTAAACATGTTATGGATGTGTTTTAGTTTATTAATTCACTGGTTCCCCCACCACAGTAGGTGGCGTAGCAGCTTTTTATCGCGTCCAAACCTCTATGGTCCAAATAAATACAACCAAGAAGAAGCTGCGAAGAAACAAACCTACTGCGCAGGCGCATGGTACGATTCAGTAATCTTGAGGTAAAATGGCGACGGGTGCCATTTCCACCGAGTCCAAGAAAATATCAGAATTAAGAGTTGTTGATCTTAAATCCGAGCTGAAAAGAAGAAATTTGGACACTACTGGTATAAAGAGTGTTCTTCTTGCGAGACTGAGACAGGTAATGAAAAAAAAAGCTGATTTATGCTTTGAAGGGTCGACCGAGCTAGGGAATGCGATGCATGGTTGCTAAGGCTAACGTTAGCAACTATGACCGATATCATTCTAACGATCGTTTGTTGATGTGTTTTTAACCACACCCTGGGTAAACAAAATACATCAACACCTCTCTGAAAGAAAAGGTGAAATTATGTTCTCGAGTGAATGGTTAAATACAGAAAAATTATAATTGTTATGATGCATGGCAAATCTAAGGGTGCACAACAGACATGAATGGCCCGTCTGTTATTCGAACGACGTCAAAATTAGTTTATAACTAATCCTCTTTTTTTGGTACATTAACATATTGCACAGCTTTTTAAATCAGATGTAACTTTATTGTTGACAAGCCCTAGGGAGGACCACGCACATACTCGTTAAATGCGTTTTTAAAAGAGGTTCAGCAGAAGTGTCTTCGGTTCTTAATTTGATCACGTTGGACTAGCATTTTGTAACCTCGAGGGTATTAATGCGCACACCTTCCCTGTTTTTTTCCATGGTTAGGTGAGAAGAAGTGATCTCTAAACTCACTGCGTTAGCGATTCAGAGTTATTACATTTTGGTGTTGATGTTAAAACGAATTCCAAGTCTGACATAAACTCTAGACTTGCCTTTCTAATATCATAAATTAACAATACGTAGCTGAGCACATGTTATGGACAGCATGTTGCTCAAAGTGTTTTGATAAGATTATAGTTTAAGATTAAGAAATGGTAATGTGGTTATGCAATAGTGTTTAAGGTAAGCGCTCGATTGATTGTAAATCTTTCTGGATTCGATTAAAACCGTTTTTAGTTCAGTCAGACTTTAAAAATAGCTTTAATTTCACAATTATGCAAATATATCATATTCAGTGTCTAAAAAATAAAACCTCACATTTTTACCTCAAAGTAGTTTCCCAGCAAAAGAGAAACCAAGAATACAATGTTGAGAGTTAGAAGGCATACAATTGTTTTTACATCTGCCTATAGACCCTGGGATGGGTTTTTTTTTTAAAGAGAGAAAAGAAGCCCCAATAATAGTGCTATCATCTACAGTCTTGAGCACAATTTGCATACTACTAGTAGTTTCTATAAGACAGCACGATTTGGTGTGATTACTGACAGGCTGGGCTTCAACATTGTCTTAAACAGTATAACACTACTCTCTTGGTCGTAAGACTGATGTGATGAATGAAGAAACGAGGCAAACATGAGGTTTCAGACTAACTGTTTTTTATCAATCTTTTTTTTAAGGCTCTTGAAGATGAAGATTGTGACACAGAGAATATTGAGATCCCGCTTACAGCTGACCCAACAACTCGTAAAGATGGGAAAGTTAAAGGTAATTGTATTTTTGACTAATAGTTGAGACAGGGTGGCTAAAGAGTCAATACTTTTTTCTTTTTTTAAATGTAGATTTGTAATGTTTTTGTTGTTTTCACCATTCAGGGAAAAGGGTGGATTCTGATGCAGACACCACAGGGGAGGAAGATGTGTTATCAAAGGTGACTTTTGCATACAATTCTGCTGCATAAATGTTAACCAACCCCTGTAGCACTTGTGTGTTTGCTCTCTCTTCCCCTATACTAAAACTGATACTTAAAAAAAGAAACTCTCAAAGTGACGATCATTTCAATTGTATCGTATGATACCTTGTCTGATTACCTTATTAGGAGCTAGTTTGGCAGTGTACGATTAATTGTGCTCTGAAATGGTTAACTAGGTTCTAGGGCTGTGCAATTAATCGTATTTTAATCGCGATTACGATTATGGCTTGCGACGATTAGGAAAACAGCATAATTGACAAAATACGATTATTTTGCTGGGTGCGCTTTCGCCCCTCCCTAAAAGCCCACTCGGCCACGTGGGAGTGACATGTGTTGTGAGTGTTCAGCGCAAGCGAAGATGTCAGAACAAGAGCAGCAACTCGTTAAAAAGAAGGGTCGCGGGGAGATTCCCAGTCGATCGCGAGATGTGTCTAAAAATAGAACAACAATATTCTGTTTTATCGTTAATGTCCTGTAACATAATGTTCCCGTGCCAGAATAATGCACTTGAACGCATCAAAGCTTTGTGATTGGCCGGCCTCACCCCATGTGTCCGGGCGTGGCTGGTGAGCAGTGCACTAGTTCGCTGACGTTGTCCGTGTCAACAGCATGGATGGTCAACAGGAGTGACAGTCCGCACACACACAAGACCGCAATTATGGCTGAAGCAAAAAAGCCCAAAATATATAATTTTCACTCCAAGTGGGAGGATCATTATTTTTGTATCTATTCCAATTCAAAGTCCATCTGTCTCATCTGCAATGCGAGCGTGGCTTTATCGAAGAAGGGTAATTTAGGAGGGGCATTTCAAAACAGTGCACAAACGCTACAAGACGGAATTCCCTCCTAATTCTGCCCTACGCTCCAAAAGGGGAGGGGCCTGAAAGGGCAGCTAAATGCACAGCAGTCCATTTTCACCAGGCCCAACAACAAGAGCAAGGCTGCTACCATAGCATCTTATCGTGTCAGTCACGTTCTTGCGAAACACATGAAGTCTTTCGAAGACGGCGAAGTTGTGAAAGAAGCATTCCTGGAGGCTGCGACGCGCTTTTGTGGGACAGTAAAAATAACAGCAGCATTTCAACAGGTTTTTGATATAATAAAAACTCAATTTAGATACCGTTATTAATCAGCTGTAAGTTTTAGTTTGTTTGAATTTATTCATGATAATTATTGTACAAAATGGTATAAGAATGCAAACATTAAGATCTGTTCTGTTTAAATTGATTATAGTCTATCAGTTCAGAAACTAGTGTTGCTTGCATCCTATTTTAAAGGCATTTCTTTTTATACTCTAATAAAATGCAACAAAAAATGGGTTTGATTCTATTAATGTTGTCTTTTTTATTGCACTGTTGCCGCAGCAGATTACTGTGTAGCTTCAGATCTGAGTTGTCTTATTAGTAATCCTAATTTATACTTTTGTAGCAACACTATTTTTATATAATGGCAAAGAAAGGGTTCTTCAGAGTCTTTTCTTTTT